GGGGGGGGGGGGGGAAACCTGATGAGTAAACCAGAGCAACAACTCAGGGGGAGCAGTGATGAGTGAATCTAAGTAACAACTCATGGGGAGCAGGCATCTTAAGCTATGAAAGGGAAGTATACTCTATTTACTCACTTTTGATTGCCATCATAAAAAAAGGGGAGATTGTTACACCTAAGTTTCAATGATGACAATAGTGCAAATCTAATTGTATCCATTTGATGGCAGGAAATTAGGAAGTAGCAATACTTCAAAGGAAATCCTTCTGGTAAGGACATCAGAAAGGAAATAAAATCAAAGGCAACATGAACGATGCTAAATCAAAGGAAGTACAAGCCATAAAAAAGGAAACAAAATCAAGTCCAAGCGCTAAAGTTTCAATCAAAGGACATCGAGGCTCTCTCAAGAAGGAAACATATCAAGTGCAGTTGCTAAAGAATATTAGGCCATACTTCAAGGACTAAATTAGAATCTGAAGATACTGAAGATTGATCAACCAAATCAAAGTCACAAATCACTCCCTGAAATATGGATATGAAAGGGGAAGGACGTAAACAAATTCAGCCCATCACATGTGTAGGATTCGGAGACACCCCTTGGGTTAAATCTCTTAGAGGATTCTATGCCTCAATTAAAGATCAATCTGCAACGGCTATTCAAACTCTTCTATAAGAAGTCCAGCAAAATCAAGAAGATGATTTACGCAACTACACAATCTGTTTCTAAGCTTTTCTAGTTCTTAGTACAAACACTGTATTTTTGAGTCTACAAGTGTCACAAACGATAGGAAGAGTTAGAACACAAAAAGAGAGTTGTGTCAACATTACAAAAATCACTGTTGATGTACATCGTTGATGGTGAACGTACTAAAATCATCACTACTGTAATCATATATCAAAGATCTAAGAGAGCTCTTGTGACCCAAGGGAACTGGACGTAGGTACCACACATGTATTGAACCAGTAAAAAAACTGTTGTGCCTTCTTTACCTTTCTATTCATTTAGTTCATTCATACTGAAATTACGCACTGTGCAAAGTCTAGTCGACTAAATTTACACTTAGTCAATCAAGATTTTTAAATCTGATACACCAAAATTATTATCTTTCGAATATTCATCTACTGTTGAGATACTTCTGCGCCCTTCATTGGATATTGGTACTTGCCAGAATCTTAGAAGCGTAGAATTTCGGATGCTCACCTTTGATGATACAGTTATTTTCAATCTTATACGAAAACTACGTACCTTTCATCAAGGAATTGAGTTATTTTCAATCTTATACGAAAACTACGTACCTTTCATCAAGGAATTGATCTTACGCTGCTGTGACTACTTGAAAAACTTAAAAATCTTAAGTTCAACCCTCGAGTTTTGTAGCATAGTTAGGGGCAAAAACTTAGTGCAAGCCAATATTCTTGATGTGCCAAAGTTACTCTCCTTAGTATACCACATTCATTATAGAATACCTTCTTTATCCTTTGACCGTGTTTCAAGTCAATGTGGTGCTACTATTCAAAAACATGATAGAATTATTTTTAATTTAGAGAACTTTATAGAACTTTTCTGTATTTAGCTTAAGTACAGATGATGAAGTGCTCTTCACTCTATGGTAAGTTCAAAAACTAAAAAGTGAGAGAGGAAAATTTAAAACTATATGGTACTTAGAAAAGAAGTAGGGCTAGGAGGCACAGGAATGTCTACTGTCCCTTCTAGCATCAGTAGAATTTTCTTCATTGAAGGGCGAAGTGACGGTTCGTCTTGAATGCACCAGATGCTTATTTTCACCATTCTCTCGAATTGTCTTCTCTCAACCTCCTCCTCCCCGACCAGTTTTCCTAGCTCTCCTGCCTCAAAGCAACTGTAAACCCAATACTCAAGAATCGATTCATCTTCAGCAAGGCTCCAATCTACACACTTCCGTCGACAGATCAATTCCAATAGAACGACACCAAAACTGTAAACATCTGCTTTCACTGTCACTGGCAGTTTTCGGTGCCATTCTGGTGCGACATAGCCTCTGGTACCTCTTACCCCTGTGTAGGTTCTTGTTTGATCTTTCTTTAAGAGCTTGGCCATTCCAAAGTCAGATATTTTAGCACAAAAATTATCATCCATGAGTATGTTCTGAGGTTTTATATCACAATGGATAATTTGTGTGTCACACTCATCATGCAAATATAGGAGGCCCCTTGCAATATCTCTAGCGATGCCACACCTTTCCTCCCACGTGGGCTGTTTTTCTGGTGTGAAAAGTATGTCTGAGAGTGAACCATTGCTCATGTACTCATACACCAGAAGCCTTCTTGATCCATCTAAGCAGTAACCAAGGAGGCGGACTAGATTTCGATGATGTGTTCTTCCAATGATTTTCATTTCAGTTTGGAACTCTTTTTCCCCTTCTACCAATTCCTTGTCTAGTCTCTTAACAGCTACCACTTTCTGGTCTTCTGCCAACATCCCTTTAAATACTGTCCCAAATGCTCCTCTTCCTAACTCTTCTGTGAAACCACTGGTTGCCTGCTCTAGTTCTGCATATGAAAATGCTCGTGGACCAACATCTTCACATAAATGAACACTTCTACTCTCCTGGATTTTCCTGTAAGTCCAGATATGATTCCTGTGAATGAGGAATCCGGAGATGCCCAACACCAAGAAAGCAAAAGCAGCCAATGTAATGCCGGCAATTAGGATGTCCATCCTTAGCTTTTCTCCTTTTGTTTCTTCAATCTGGTTAAACAACCCTTCTTCTGCAAACTCGTTAATGCCCACCTTGACCAATGCTAGATTAGAATCACTCATGTCTCTTCTTCCATATCTCAGTGGCAGCCTCTGCTTTCTACACTCTCTATCTTTGAATAGAGCAGCCTCACAATTACAATCCTGTAAACAGGCTTGTACACAATCTTCTTTTGTTGTTGTGACCAAGGTAGCATAAGAGATATCTTCCCATCTTGTGTTCTCAACTGTTCTCATCGCATAGTATTTAGAAGTCTTCTCCTTTAACCGACAGGTTTCTGCAGTGAAATTTCTTTCACAGCCTGCGCTCCAATTGCCTGGCCTTACAAAATCAAATCCTGGAAGACACGCACAGTTAACTTGATCATCTATATTGATACAAAAACCATTAAGCCCACAAAGGCCTTTTGGAACACATCTATCATCTGTTGATGACCATATTGCAGAGCTGTTTTGTTGGCTCAGAGAATGTGAATAAACTCGAAGAATACCGTCAACATCAATTTTCATCAAATAGATGGTCCGTTCTCTAGGATAGCCTCCCTTTGTTAGATTTCTGAGACTGAGAGTTGAATTTAGTAAGTAGAGGAGGCTATCATCGCCAAGATTCAGTGTAACATTATTCCCTACTCCATTGGTGCCTGTTGAGAAGTAAGAATATGGGGCACTGTCTGGTGTCTGGACAGGGTACTGAACGAGGTTCCCATCGCTTTGCATTTTGAGACGGAAAATCCCACGTGAATCATCTTTTTCCGAGGCACTCGAGAACAGCTCTTGTCCAGCAGAGAGATGCTGACCAGGTAAAATGGTGTTTGTCGGGTTGTCAAAACTTTGCCATATGACATTGTGATTAGAATTGTAGAGCACAAAGTTGCCCGTGTCCAGCATGGAAGCTGAAGCAATGGCTTGAGAGGGATTTATGACAGAGATTTCTTGGCCTTGTCCTACTTGTACAATGAGCCTTCCATCACTAGTTAAGAGCAAGACAGCGCTGCTTGGGACAGCAGGACTGTTTCTGTTTGCTGTCCACACTGCTGTCTTGTTTGGCATGCTGCTGATGGAGATTCCAACAGCGTAGCCATTAGTTTGCTCATAAAACCCAAAGGCAAAGCGCCTTGAGAGTGAAAACCATGACGAATTGGCCGTAGGTGTTAGAGAAGAACCAGGAGTTATATTGAAGTTTCTTTGTTGTGCTAGTGCTACTACATGAAATGCAGATAGGAATAATAACCATAGCAAAACAGCCATAGATTTTAGCTTTTCTTCTCTTTCTTTTCCTCTGATTTATCACAAAATTGCATTGCTATTATATTCGGTTTATACTTGGAAGAATCCAAAGATTTCAGCTATTCTAGGTCAAGTCAATGTTTGCCAATTAAGAAAGCTGTTCACTAACTAGTTAAAAGAAAAGTAAAATAGGATACTTGGAAATTATTGAGTCCCGTCGATTCTGAGGAAATACCGCGTATATAAGTCTATAAATGACATTGTCCTTATTGAGTCCTGTCAATGTCTTGAATCGGCGAATGTTAGGTGAAATTTTTTACAAGTCTTTAGTCAAGCAATAATGCTTTTAAATTGTTGTATTTGTAGGGCCTGGCTGTACCTTGTGCTTCTACAGGATTGGCAAGCTAAAGTCATTTTGTTAGTGACATATTTGAGGGCCAGAATCCCTGTTCACGATAAGCTCACTAAAAACACATGCTCAATTATATGTGCATGTATTTTCATGTATTTACGCATGAATACAGCAGTAAAAAGCGCATAAAATTATGGCAGTCCAGTTATACGCGCATATATTTACATGTATTCGCGTCATGTATTCATGAATACAGTAACAACAATCACATTAAAAATATATATGTCTAGCTGTCTAAGAGAGAAGGAAAACATAAATAGCGTATTTTATGCCTCAATGGTAGTATATACCATAAATACTTATTTTGCTATGAAATATAAAATGTAGCTATAAAAAATAATATTTTAAAATGATTTTGGTTTATAATAAATAGGGTGTATACTTTTACTAGAGGAGATAAAATTTCCATTAGAATTTTTATTAAAAAATCCGAATCAACCTGACCCATGTATACCCTAACAGTAATAGTGTCGGGTCATCTAAAAAGATTTAGATTAACTCGATTCATTCCTTATCATGCTTGTGGTTGAAGACAAATGTGTATTTAAGTGTGAATTTTGGGTAGGTGGATTCCTTATACTGAGTTTCAGAACTTGTTACTTCAGTTGTTTATATTGCTGCATCTTTTATGATGTTCAACACCTTGACTCCTTTGTTTCTAAATCTGTCTACCATTTCTGAATGGTTAAGGTAAAATGTGAATCTAGAGATTGGAAAGTTGCATTTTCCCAACATTTCTGAGTATTGCATCATATTTTTCTGAATGGGTAAGTTAAGTTCTTTTTTCCCAAAAAAGGAAGAAAAGTCAAGTCTAAGGAAAAAAAAACAAAATTTTGGTTTGAGATGGACAGAGTTACTCCATTGTTAAAACTCATAAGCATTCTTCTACATATGTAACTTTGGTCTTTGGAGCAGTTTTTATTTTCAAATTAAGTTATCTAGTCTATTTGTGGTGAAGACTTCTGAAGTCTTATAAATGTGAAATCTTTATTCAAAATGAAGACGTGAGCTACTTTAGACCAAGTCAAGGTAGTTCATTAGTTAAGTCTACCAATGTTGTTGTCCTCATTGAGACCTGTCAACTAAGGTGTATCTAACTGGGACCACCAAGAATATAAAGTGCAAGTTTTGAAAGGTGCATTGAATGTTACATCCAGCTTTTGCACAAATCTTTAAGACAACAAAAATAATTTCAGTTTAATTACATTAGTGAGAGGGTTACCCATACTTTATAAAGGTAAATAAATTATTTGCGATATATCTTCGGCTCAAAGAACGGAGAGAATAAAGCAACAAACAATAGTAACAATAATATAATACACATTAAAAATAAAGAATCAGGAATCATCATATACTATACTAAAAGGAAGAACACCCCAAGTCAAAAGTTGATTTACAATTTTACCCATTAAAAATAAAGCGACTATTTTGCCCTTTAATTAAATATTACTTTAAAAATATTGTTGTTTAAAAATGTAAATACACATTCTAATACAAATAATTAAGAAAATTAAATTGACAAAAAACAAGCGTAATACCCCCTCATATTGTCAGCTTTTACACCCTTTTGATCTTCTCTATATTCTTATCAGTTTTGGTTTTTTTCCTAGTTTTTGTTAGTTTATTTATATCTTATTGTAAGAATAAATGTCTTAGTTATTACTTCTTCACCATTTATATTCCTTATTGTATAAGATTTATTGTAGGAATAAATGTCTCAATTATTACTACTCTACTCCTTTTGTGTTTCATATTGTAAAAAGAAAAACAATACCTTAAACGTCTTAGTATTTAATTACTACACAAACCTTTCATATTCATACTTCCTCCGTGAAGAAAGAAACAGAAAAAGGAAGACACCATTTCAAACAAATTCTTTATCAACTTGCAAGTTATATTATTGATGTTCGTGATGTTGATGAAAGATTCTCCGACCTACCTGTGCTTTGTGATCTTTCAAAAATATTAGTTCAGACAAAGAAGCATTCAAATTATCCTCTTGTATTTCGCTTAGTGAAACTTGCTTTGCTTCTGCCCGTTGCTACTGCATCCGTTGAAAGAGCTTTTTCGGTGATGAAATTTATCAAGAATAACTTACGAAGTCGAATGAATGATGAGTTCTTTAGCAGTTGTTTGGTGCCTAATGTAGAAAAAAATATGTTTGATAGTATTTTTAATGATGCTATTATTAAAACATTTCAAGATATGAAACCTCGTCGAGTACAGTTATAATAATGTACTTAGTCGTTTTTTGGTGATCTCATTATTCATTAGGTCCTTGTAACTAACACATGACTTGTTTTTTATATTTTTGTTGGCCTAAGTGAATGTTAGTTTTGAAGATTGACAAAGGAAGCTCAGGCAAGAACCAGGTACATCCCTTGTGTGTATAGACACGGGCAGATTCGAGCATGTGAGATTCACGTGAAGGAGATAAGCTTAAATTGGTCTAATTAATATCTCCTGATCGAAAATGGTTGCATAATTGATAAGGAGAAGGACACCTTAATCAAAGAGAACACTATCCAAGATAAGGGAGTAGTTAGAGGTTGAGATCAAGTAGAACTCTTCCATCAAGGAAGAGTAGCAATAGAACTCTAGTTATTCCTTCATCTACTAACTCTATATATTGCAGAATATTCTGTTTTCACTCACAAATATTGTTGTCCTCATTGAGACCTGTCAATTTAATGGTATCTAACTTTACCACCAAGAATATAAGGTGCAATTTTTGAAAGGTGCATTGAATGTAACATCCAGCTTTTGCACAAGTCTTTAGGACAACAAAAATTTTAGTGTAATTCCAGAGGTGAAGTCTGATCAGGGTAGTGTTATTTTTATCCTTGTCTTATAAAGGTAGATAGGTTATTTTCGATAGACTTTCGGTTCAAAAAATAATGAGAATAAAGCAACAAACAATAGTAACAACAGTATAATCAGGTAATGGAAGCGAATGGCACAACATATAATAATAAAGAATCAGAAATAAAAAAAATACAAGAATAGTACTAGTACATACTAGTAATCTCATGAGAAACTCACGGCTATATGTCAACCTTCAACCCTAGTTATATACCCGCAGGAATTATTCGGGTAGCATGTGAGATGACCAGACACCATCTTTATTAAAAAAAAATTTGGGGGGGGGGGGGGGGGTAAGGAATTTTATTGGCGAAGTTGTTCCTTGCTTTGACGACATTTTCAAGTTAAAGTCATTCCAAAATTTGAGGGGCCAAAACCCTTGTTCCCGGTAAGCTCAATGAAAATTGCTTGGAAATTAGTCTTAAACCATAATTAACATTTGTATTTTGATGCACCTCAGTACATTTGTTTAGAGGCCATACCTTTTTTAATTGGAAATTTTCCAGCTTGAGAGAAAAGTATGTGTTGACTTGTCAAGTCTTTTGCACGCGTTGCATGTATATGATTTCCTTAACCATACGTTTTTTTTTTTATTGACTTGGTCTTTTATTTCCTTTTTCTGTATTTAGTTTCTAATAATGATAGTAGAGTACTCTTCGTCCATTTGCTTTTGCTGGTTTGCGCGCTAGTTCAATTATACTAGTACAATAACAACTACGCATGAGATCGAAATAAATTGAGATCAGCTATATGATTGACAAGTTGACATTACTTGTAACGATCCGATTTGTCGTTTTAAAAATTAATGTATCGTTCAGTGGCTTAAGGTCTCGAACAGTTTCGCAATATATATTATGATCCGCGGGTGTCGTCGAGATTGATTTACTGAAGATTCGGAATTTAATTAAAAGAGCAATTCTTATTTAAAAGTTTAAATGGAAAGAGTTGACCGGAGAATTGACTTTTGAGCAAACGACCCCGGAATAGAATTTCGAGGATGGCAATAGTTTTGTATGATGATTTCGAACTTAGGGATATGTTCTGATTTGGATTTTGAAGTCCGTAGGACAATTTGACACATTTTGGCGAAAGTTGGAAAATATAAGATTTTGGAAATGTCCGACCAAAGGGTGAATTTTAGATAACGAGGTCGGATTTCGATTTCAGAAATGGGAATAGCTCCATTAAGTCAAGTATGACTTGTGTGCAAACTTTGAAGTCATTTCGGATTGATTTGATACGTTTCGGCGCAAAATATAGAAGATGGAAGATTTGAAAACTTATAATTCGATTCGATGCACGATTCATAATTTCGGCGTTGTTTGACGTGCTTTGAAAACTCGACTAAGTTCGTATTGTATTTTGGGACGTGTTGGTATATTTGGTTGAGGTTCCGAGGGCCTCGGGTGGATTTCGGAAGGTTAACGGATCAATTCAGACTTGAAGAAAAGCTGCTGGAATTTCTGGGCAGCTGCTGTTTTTTCGCATGTGCGTGAACAGTACCGCAGGTGCGTGAACAGTACCGCAGGTACGTGAACAGTACCGCATGTGCGTGAATAGTAACCGCAGGTGCGAAACTGGACAGATTGATAAGGACCAAAAATCAGTCATTTTGTCATTTTCGATTTAGATTTTGGAGCTCGATCTTTGGGCGATTTTGGAGGAGTTCTTCACAACTTTGACTTGGGTAAGTGTTCTATATCCTAAAGTATTTATATTTCATGAATCCATGATTATATGCATCATT